TCTGCTAACCGGCTCTATGCCACCCAAGGGGGCAGTGTATGCCTTATCTCCACAGGAGAGTAGAGTAATGGAAGAGTACATCATAGATTCCCTAAGTAAGGGCCACATACGTAAATCATCGCCCGCTGGTGCAGGGTTCTTTTTTGTATCTAAAAAAGATGGTGAAAGATGCCCATGCATTGATTACAGGGCATTAAACAAGATCACCATAAAGAATGCCTATCCCATTCCCCTCATATCCGAATTGTTTGACAGACTCCAGGGTGCTAAAGTCTTTACCAAACTCAACCTCAGGAGTGCATACAATTTGGTAAGGATTAAGGAGAATCATGAGTGGAAAACGGCATTTTACACTAGAAGTGGAAGTCATGCCCTTCGGGTTATGCAATGCTCTGGCTGTATTTCAGGATTTTATAAACGATGTACTCAGAAACTATATTTATTCTTTTGTCCTAGTATACCTGGACGATATACTTATTTATTCCCATGACCTTCAGACTCACCACAAACATGTCAAACAAGTGCTGCAAACCTTGCTTGAAAATAAACTTTATTGCACACTTGAAAAATGCATCTTTGATCAGACTGAGGTACAGTTCTTGGGATATAATATTTCTGCCTCTTGGTTTCAGGTGGACCCTCAAACTAGAGACTGTTCTACATTGGCCATTGCCGAATGGACTAAAGCCATCCAAAGATGTATTGGGTTTTCTAATTATTACAGGAGATTTGTCAAAGGGTTCTCTTCTGTGATAGCCCCCATCACCAATATGACATGTAAGGGGGCTAGTTGTATGATATAGTCTAGGGAGGCTAGAGAAGCTTTTGAACTCCTTAAACAAAGGTTTGCTTCTGCTGACATATTGATACATCCTGACACCAGCAAACCCTTCATACTGGAGGTTGATGCCTCCGAAACAAGGGTGGGGGCTATTCTATCTCAGAGGGAGAGTCTGGATACTCCTTTGCATCCATGTGGGTACTTTTTAAGAAAGTTGTATCCGGCTGAGCGTAATTATGATATTGGCAACAGGGAATTGTTGGCCATTATACTAGCACTTAAGGAATGGCGACACCTTTTAGAGGGTTCCAAGGATCCCCTTTTGATCATCAATGATCACAAAAATTTGTATGTGTGTGTCTCTGTATATGTGTATGTGCATTTGTATCAGTTTGTCTGCATGTGTGTGGGGTAATGTATGGGGGGGGAGGGTAGATGTATGGGGGGGCCTGAGGGAATTTTTCGAAACCGGGGCCCATTGGTTTCTAGTTACGCCATTGGCTGTATACATAGACCTGTAGCTTATGATTCTTGTCTTCCCTATGTAGTTAATGCCCTGTGACATTTTCTCTAATTGTGGGCCAGTACTGTGCATTAGCAAGTTATACATATTTGGAAGTAAGGGTTCTTAATACTCACTCTATTAGGAGACCCTAATGGATTATCTGTATTGGTGAATGCTACTCACCTAGTGATGTCATCTCATGCAACTATATATCTACAGTTCTATGCTAAAACCTTAGTATCTCTCAGTTAAAAAAAAAAAAAAAAAGTAGAATTGTGCATCTGATGCAGCTTTACATTAATTGTAAAAAGTGCTGTAATCCTGACATTTTATGTTCCAACTACAATATCTTATTGTCATGTATACCTTAATGGAATATCTCTGCAAACCTGTTTGTTATACTATGGACTGCAAAAATAAATAATAATAATAGTAATAATAATAATAACCCCCCCCTCCCCCCAACACATTAAAGGGACACTATAGTCACCCAGACCACTTCAGCTCAATGAAGTGGTCTGGGTGCCAGGTCCCTCTAGGGTTAACCCTGCCTGCTCTAAACATATCAGTTTCAGAGAATAAAAGGATTTGTGTCTTAAAGAGGGAAGGGATGCAACCCAAGTTGACCACAAGACTTGAGGTTAGGAATTCAAAGGGGCCAACCTTTCATACCAGAAGATCTGTGCACTCGGAGTCTTCCTTAGAGCAAAGATCTTCTGGTATGAATATTTGGACAATTTAGAGGGGTCATCCTAAATGCACCATGAAATAACTAGCAGGATCAGTAAGTAATTACAATATATGGTTATTCATGTTGATTAATGCTAGATAACATATTTTATTTGTCGGGACAACAGTGGACAATTATTTGTGTATTGTAGGAATTCAAATAGATTAAACAGAAAAGGCCTGGTTTTCAAAAATTTTTATAAAACATTTTATTGTAAGATTCATTAAACATTCAGTGTACAGTACAAGTGCCTAAACTGCACTTCACATTGAAAGGATATCAGTATTGGTTAATGCCTTGCCTTATGGACACATCGCTGGTTTGTTTTTTTCTAGTTCCAGATGGCGTACTTTGAAGGCTCTGAAGTTTCTCCTGTGCAGACTCTCAAATTTCCAATTCAGCCTGCTCATCAATAGACTTTGAAATACAACATATAGGCCTCCTCTATACCTTGACCAGTTTCAGCAGAGACAGGAAGAATATACTGGAATTCAATTGGTTGAGGTTACCGGGCGATGAATGCTGATGTTTATTAGGATATGCAAGTTGTTCTAGCAAGTCTTGATAATGATCTTTACCATTTAAAAGATCCATTTTATTGACCGCAAATAAGACAGGTTTGCGTAAAAGTGATTTTTAGCAAGTTGATAGTTTCAAATGCTGTTAATTAAGGTGCTTTGTATGAAAGTTGAAAGCCTTGAACATTAATCATGAAAAGAAAAGGTTTGTTCCGATCTATATGTTTGAGAAATTTGTGACCCATTCCTTTGTTCATATGTGCACCTTAAATTAAACCTGGGAGATCAGTTATGGAAATTATATATTTTTTCTCAAAGGTCACACGATTTCTATCATCTAAAGGAATAGGTTATTTCGGCCGCTTTCTATAAATGTGGTGATGTAGCTCTGCCACTTTTTCTTCACAAAGAATACTTTTTCTACTATCAGTTTCCAGTAACTAGAGATGTGTGAGACTGCCTTTCCAACGGCGTTTGACAGATATAAGCGTACTGGATTTAAATATTCGTATAGGGTCAAAAAATGGCTTGCAGGCCTTGTAGTTATTAAGCTCCAGCTCTTACATGGAATCACCGGTCCATAATCACTGCTATTTGCAAAATGCACTGAACAAGTGGACCATGTCTTTACTTGCTTCTTATTAATTTTGACAACTGGCGAAACTGTCGTTGAAACTGGAGTGGTCTTCTTTAACTCCATGCCCAGTAACAATCGTTTTTCAGGATCTTTTGTCAATCTTGATGCAAATTCAGCCAGGTTTTCTATAAAGCTCATCACATTAGACGAATACCTTTTGGTCACGTGTAATATTTCTTCTGCCGTCTGCCACCAGCAAGCAGGAATAGAATTGATGGCCTTTCCAGTGATATGTGACAGGAAGGAGCTAGCTGCATATACATATTCATTGACAATCATATCAAAGGACCCAGAGGAAGCTGCTGCTAGCACCACAGAAAAAAGCAGTATTACAACAGATACAGTGCGAACACGGTGGAGGATTTGTGACCAAGGATTAGCCTTCCTCTTTGGAGATTTAGACAAAGAAATTTTGTGCATACGAGGGCTGACTGCCAAATTAGGAACTGCCAGGTTAGGAACTAATGGTATAGGCACTTCCTTAACCTCACAGATCTTCTGCCTACATTCCTGCACTTTCTGGAGAAATCGGAGAGGGTCTGATTTCACCTTTAAATTTTCAGCACTTTTGCGAACATTGTCCACGTCTGCAAGCAGAGTGTTTGTTTTGTTAATCCTTGGATCATAAGCTTGCATGAAGTCACGTTTTGCCTTGTCAAACTCCGCGTGGATGCTGTTTTTTTTCTGTTCCAACATTCGCTGCACTTTTTCAAAGTAGATGTTTATTTTCTCAGACTCCATAGACAGGGTATCGAGAACCTTTTTTTTATTCTCATGTAATGTAATGAAATGATTTGATACATGAGAGCATTTTGCTTTGCCTCTTGTTGAACCCTTGAAGCAGAGTCTCCAGTGAGCGCTGCTGTTGGTAGTAGGCTTCTTCTATGGCCTCTGTGAGCTGACATTCATTTTCTTCATTTCCATAGTAAACAAATCCAGGACATCCTAGATATATAATTTTTTGCTTTTACCACAGCTATATGAATCGCAGGAGGAAAGCCACTAAGATTTCCTCAAAAGTGATCCTTAGCACAGAATGATCACATCTTACCTTCCAGTGTGATGTATTCTACACGTGTTTATGACATCATAAAGCCAGTGTTCTGTTTGGTCATCTTAAAGCAAAATTGACCTCCTTTCTGTAGCTAATGTTATATTATCTCCTGCTCTGTGATTGGCTAATTCATACACCAATCAAAACTCTATATGAGCAGCTCATGAATAATCAGTTAATTCAGGCTGTGACAGCCTATATGACCTTCTGCAGAGTCACATCCTAAAAGGACAACTGCCATCATTTTTCACTATCATTGTACATTTAAAAATTACACATTATAACCTAATGGGATTATTTCACTAATCACTAGACTGTAGTGACGTAAAAAACAAATTGAAAAATACAGGCACATGCATGAGGATTTAGAAAATGTCTCTAGCCCAGCTATTATTCTAGCTCTGCCTTTATGGTCTACATTTAGCAATTTGTTATTTAATACATTGATCCATATTCATACCTCCCAACATGTGAAAGGGAAAAAGAGGGACACTTTAAATTTACTAGAGAAGCTGGAAGTGTGACCAGGGGCAGCTGTGCAAGAAAGTTTTATGAGACTTACTAATAACAAATTATACAACTAAAATGTAATTTAAAACAGGAACAATGTATGTTATTCACACAGACTAAACAAACACATTTATTGCAGTTTAAAGTCACATTACTGTGATGTATATTGCTGTGGAGCTCTGTTATGATCTATTGTACACATCAACAACAGGGAGTTCCTGGGAATATGCTTTTTTGTAATCGGGAGTTGGGCTGCAGTGTTAGGGGAGACATAGGCTGTATTATGGGCTACATAATAGGCATGGGGGAGGCAGGGGCTGTTATTATTATTAATATATGTAATAAATAAAAAAAGTCAACCCTCTTATTGTGGGTGATATGGAATCAAGGGGAGAATTCTTATTGCGGGTGATGTGGTATCAATCAGTAATTGATTATCTTGCATATCTGCCCCCGGCCAAATTAAAGAAGTAATGCGTGCACGCTCCTAAAGTAATTCACACCAGACACAAGTTTCGGGTTAATGAAAAACTTGAGGAATGTTACATACACAGAAACACACTTTGCATCCCTTATGCATACAAACACAGATTCACACAATGCATCCCTTACACACAACAAGAAACACACAATACATCCCTTATACACACACACACACACTGCTTCCACTACACACAAACACACTGCATCACCTACACAAACTGGTATCCCTATACACTACATTCCGTAAGCACACACATTAGATCCTCTACAGTAACACATAACAAATCCCCTACACACTCTACTCCCTGTGAGTTCATGGGTGGAACATGTAGGTGGACTTATGGGTGGGCTTTATGGGCATACTCACCGTCAGGCCCTGGGGCCCAGACCTTGAGCTATGTAAGAGGCCCCAAAAAATGGAGCTGCTTCCCGTTCTCCCAGAACATTGAATTTTGTGACCACAGTTACAAACAGCCTCCAGAGATCCTGTTCTACACCAGACCAGTGGAGCCAGACTGCAGACAGAGCCCATCACCATCCTCATCGCATTGTAAGTAGGCAATCTAGTATATTATTAGTGACACTAATCTCTAATTTACCTCACATTAAATGGACACTATAGTCCCCAGAACTACTGCAGCTTAATAAAGTTGTTCTGGTGTCTATAGTTTGTCCCTGCAGGCTTTTAAATGTAAACACACACTGTGTGCAGCACTGGCATTAGTTCATATGGGTGGGGCATTGCGATGTTCTGGGGGGGGGCAAATCCTTAATTTGCCTAGGGCGGCAAAAATCCTTGCACCGGCCCTGATTACATCATAAGCATTGTCAGAGATAACATGAAATAATACATCAATAATTGGTTAGGTGTTAAGTGGTTCATTTAGTGCTCTTCCTACCGGGTGTGATGTCACTGGTATCTTGGAGGTCTCCCCCAGATTCCAGGGCCATCTTGTTAATGAGGGTGTTAGTCGATGTCAAGGGAAACTCCCTAGTGGCCATTTTAGGTAAATCACATAGAAAGTTGAATAATGCTGATTGTAGTTATGCTGAGTAAATAGGCATTTTACTAACATGGATTGGGTTAATATTTTTGTCCACAACAGCGGGTGTCCAGGAATGAAGGCTTCTGTGGTGATCCACGGTATATGCTCCCACGAGCTCCAGTGTTTTGAATGTTACAGTGTTAACCCAGTGCTCTAAACTCAAAAGGCACTTTCCCTGTAACTTTTGCCCTGCAGTAAAGACGGCCCTGATTATTCAAATACCAAAAACCTGTTATTTATATGTACATGGTTACTTGGAATAGCACGCAAGTAACTTTTTAAAAATTGTATTTTTTATCATTTAGGGTAGGTTAGAAGTCTACCAATTCACAATAATGTAACTTTAAGTACATTTGTAAGGACATATTGGGTCAGTGGTTCCCACACTTTTTAGGTTCAAGACACCCTTAATATTTCAGTATTTTTCCAAGGCACCCTCAAGTCAACATTTCTAGGTTGTATATCTGTACAGCGCTGCGGCCTTTACTGGCAGTATAATGTACAGTGTTGGTGTTTGCAGGGATGCTTGTATACATATGGTGACTACCGTAGATCACTTGAAAACATTTTTAAAAATATGGACTCATTTGGAAAGCATATTAATTCAATGCCTACTTTTTAGGGTTGTTTTTGTATGTTTGCTGTGCAGATTGTTGTAATTGCTTAACTGTTACTATTCAGACTTAAATTGTGTAACGTTTGGAATTTAGTGAATACCCCTCCTTACATGTTATTTAAACTTAACTGAATGCAATTCAGGAGCATATGTTTAGAATGGGCTCATAATTGTCAGCATTTGAAAAAAAAAAATTCTAGGGGCACTTTGTGGAAAGTATACACACAGATGTACAGATTGCACAAAAGGGAATTTGTTGAATTTATTAAATGGACATTGCTCTATGGGGAACTTTGGATTGGATGATCGCAGAAGAAGTGACACCTTCACAATGAAGTTGCCAGAGGTAGCACGTTCAGCAGGACTGAGGGAGTCTTGAATTTCTATTATTACTAATTTTTATTGCTCAGGGTTGGGGAGGCTAAACCTAATTGAGGACATAGGAACTATAGCGTTATTAATACAGGTTTGCATTCCTAATGCTGTATTGTTCCTTTAAATATACAAATCTGGGTAGATAACAGAATTGCACATACAACATGCAGAACTGAGTAAAATACAGAGAAACAACACACAGCCGGGTACTATAGGGAGATACCCAGAACTATCCCATACAACCAGGAGAAACATGATGGATTACACAGAGCTGCTATACAGAGCAGGGCCGGACTGGCCCACCTGGATACCGGTAAAATTTGAGGTGGGCCGTCGGCACCTGGGGCCAGACAGAGAGCTGGCTGTTCCGGTGGCCACAGGGGGGAGCTGGCTGGTCTGGCGGCCGCAGGGGGGAGCTGGCTCCTGGCTGTTCCAGTGGCCACAGGGGGGAGCTGGCTGGTCTGGCGGCTGCAGGGGGGAGCTGGCTCATGGCAGTTCCAGTGGCTGGCTCTGCTCCCCTGCCCGCCCACGCTACTAAATGAGACCGGGGCCGGAATATCCCATCTCATTAATTTGCGCGCTGGGGAGCAGAGCCAGCACAGCCAGCTCCCCCTGCGGCCGCCGGAACAGCCAGGAGCCAGCCAGGAGCCAGCTCTCCCCTGCGGCCGCCAGCACACCTGACACAGCTGTCTGCCCTGCAAGACTCCTGTCCGGTCGCCCACAGGTAGCTATATTATGTGTCATGTTTGTCTGTCATGGTTTGTGTCTATCTGTCATGGTGTGTGTGTTTGTGTGTGTCACGGTGTGTGTCTGTCTGTCATGGTGTGTGTCTGTGTCATGATGTGTGTGTCTGTGTCAAGGTGTATGTGTCTGTCATGGTATATGTGTGTGTCTGTCAGGGTATGTGTGTGTGTCTGTCATGGTATGTGTGTGTGTGTCTGTCAAGACGTGTGTGTGTCTGTCAAGACGTGTGTGTCTGTTATGTTATGTGTGTGTCTGTCAAGGTGCGTGTGTGTGTCTGTCATGGTATGTGTGTCTGCCAAGGTGTTTCTGTGTCTGTCAAGACGTGTGTGTGTGTCTGTCAAGGTGTGTGTGTGTCTGTCATGGTATGTGTGTGTCTGTCATGGAGTGTGTGTGTCTTTCATCTGTCGTGGTATATGTGTGTGTCTGTGTCTGTTATGGTGTATGTGTGTGTTTGTGTGTGTTTAAAAATAGTGTTTTTACTCTTTTTTTTTTTCCCACGCCGTGCTGCGGGGCTGGCATAGATTTTTTTCCAGGGCTGCTTTGTATCCCCAGAGATATATACACAGTACAGTGTCTCTGTATAAAGCTCCAGCTCTCTCTAACTCTAGCTCTCTCTGAGTCTCCAGCTCTTTCTTCTCTGATCTCATCTTCAGTAGTGCTTCTGCTATGAGAACTTTAGCTTTCTAGTAAATGTTGCTGCTGCTATGATACATATCGGCTACATAGGGTTAATTCAGCAAGATATTACTTTTGCAGCTGGCATTATGATTAATCTGCAGTGCTAAAATGGAGCCAAGACGTAGCGGTCAGGGGCGGACTGACCGGTCGGGCACTTCGGACACACGGTCCGAGGGCCCGGCCGGGAGGGGGCCCGGCCAGCCAGGAGGGGAGAGAGAGATGGGGGGGAGAAAGAGGGGGGGAACAGAGAGATGGAGAGGGGAGAGATGGGGAGGGGAAGAAAGAGGGGTGAAACAGAGAGATGGGGAGGGGGGAGAAAGAGGGGGGGAACAGAGAGATGGAGAGGGGGAGGAGATGGGGAGGGGGGAGAAAGAGGGGAAACAGAGATATGGAGAGGGGGGGAGAGATGGGGAAGGGGGGGAAAGAGGGGGGGAAACAGAGAGATGGAGAGGGGAGAGATGGGGAGGAGGGAACAGAGAGATGGAGAGGGGAGATGGGAGGGGGAGAAAAGAGGGGGGGAACAGAGAGATGGAGAGGGGGAAACAGAGAGATGGAGAGGGGGAGAGATGGAGGGGAGAAAGAGGGGTAAACAGAGAGATGGGGAGGGGGGAGAAAGAGGGGGGAACAGAGAGATGGAGAGGGGGGAACAGAGATGGGGAGGGGGGGCAATAAAGAGATGGGGAGAAAGAGAGGGAAGAATGAGACACAGGGGGAGACAGAGAGGGAAGAATGAGACACAGGGAGAAAGAGGGGGAATAGAGAGATGGGGAGGGGGAGAAAGAGACAGAGAGGGAAGAATGAGACACGGGGAATAGAGAGATGGGGAGACAGAGAGGGAAGAATGAGACACGGGGAGAAAGAGGGGGAATAGAGAGATGGGGAGGGGGAGAAAGAGACAGAGAGGGAAGAATGAGACACCGGGAGAAAGAGGGGGAATAGAGAGTTGGGGGAGGGGGGAGAAAGAGAGGGAAGAATGCCCCCCCTCCCCTGTCCGCAGGCACCGTGCGGGCAGGGGAGGAAGAGAGGACCTGGGAGCCCACCCTGCAGCTCCTCTGGGTCCTTCTTGCGCGAGCACAGAGCGTTGCCGCGGTTACCATGGCAACGTTACTGCTCTTGCGAGAGTCAACTCTAGCCCTGGAGCTAGGGGCTAGAGTTCACTCTCAACACTGTAACCCCCATGGATTCCTGGTGGTCGCAGTGGTGAGAGTGAACTCTAGCCCCATAAACACACTGCCCCCACACACATCATACACATTCACACACTGCCCCCATACACACCATACACATTTACACACATTGCCTCACACACACACATACACTGCCCACCCATATACACACAGCCCCCCATACACAGCCCCCCATACTAACATTGCCACACACATACACTGCCCACACACCCTACACATTCACTGCCCACACACCCTACACATTCACACACTACACCCCCACACACACACTGAACCTTTCACACACATTGCACCACTGCTCCTATTCCCTACTACAGCCTCATATCCCAGCAGACCCCAGGTAAGTTGTCAAACTGTTCTTAAACGGTTTGACTACTTGCTCTGGAGCAGTAATGGTTATTGTGCATGGATTATTTCTTTAAATAATCTACAAGTGCCCCAGTAGCCAGCCAGCCAACCCACAGGCTGGCCAGTAGCCAGCCAGTTAGCCAGCCCACAGGCCTACAGCAAGCCACAGGCTTACAGCTAGCAAGCCGCAGCCTGCCAGCCGCAGTCAGCAAGCCCACAGCCTGCCGGCAGTAGCCAGCAAGCCCACAGCCTGCCAGCAGCAGCCAGCAAGCCCACAGACTGCCAGCCAGCAACAGTAATTAAGGTAAGAGGAGCCAACTTGGCTTAGGTATCAGCGAGCTATGT